TGCACACTAATTATATGCATAACCCCACTTAATTACTTTTATTTTCTTTTTAAAAAGATTTACATACATACCACTTAATTCTCATGTATTGACATTTCTAACAACTAAATTATAATTTTTATAAATGTGCCACTTCATCTATGCATGAAAATTTTGTTTTTTATTTAAAAAAAATAAAATAGTGGTATTTTCGATGTGAAATGAAAACTTTTAGTGGTATAAATGCTAAAATTAAAGCTTAGGTGTTATATATATAAATAAATAGAAATTGGGTGGTATGTATGTAAATGCCATTTTTTTGATATTTTTTAGTGGAGAGAAATTGGAAGTGGGCTTGCATCATATTGCACGCCTAATTGCGACTTCATCTGAAATCTTGGCCGTCTATTGATGCTAATCAGTAAGATTATGTATTTGAACGGCTGTGATTGGAACTGTTAGGATCACAGCATGATCTGTATGAATGAAGTTGATAATTTAATATACCCCATTTAGTTTTTTTTATTATTTGAGCCGCTTTATCCAATTAAATCCTTTATTGTATTTCCTAAATTAAACAAAATATGTATGTAATTGTGTCAACTAATTTAGTTGATTAAAATTTTGAAAATTAATGAAAAATTTTCACTAATCAATATTAAAAAAAGGAAAATTCATATATTTTCTATAATTTACATATCAACACCTAAATTTTAATTCTTATATTTATACCACTAGAACAATATCAAATACAGCTTTTTCATGCTAAGGTAAGGTGGCATGTATGTAAAAATTGATGTTTGAGTGTTAGATGTGTAAACACATATGATTTCTATGGTATGTATGTAAATATTCCTTTAATTCATTTTGATAAGGTTATCATTTTATTGCTTTGTTGGAGCATGATTGTAAAAAGCCATGAGTTGAAGATGATTATGTTACTTGCACGCAACATAATAAATTATTTTTTAAAATAAAATTTGTGCTTGTGCTATCAAATCATAAAATTCTTATTTAATTTATAGGATAGAGTCAATAGCAAGTGTGAATGATTGTCGTTCTTAAGCTAATCCATACAATAATTAAGGGTTATTTGCTCTTTAAATTATCAAAATTTAATCAACTCCAAATTATAATCATAAATGTATGATATATTTAAATAATTTTCCTATGAATAATAATATGTGTTATCCGAATGCCCTTGATTGGTTCGAGCGGCTGCAAGCAATGCATGTGTCGCCAATCGGGATGAATAAAGACATCCCAAGGAAAGGACTAGGCTAAGGCATCAATAAGAGACCAGCCAACTCAGAAGATGGATGGATCAAAACAAGGATATCAATCGGTCGATTGACCCAAAGGATGGACGAACCAGAACGTTGGATAACGTCAGAGTAGCTGAACATAAGAAGGTGACCTGAAAACCAACCAAGTCACGAGCCAGTCAACTTAGATATCACTGAACAACTACCAACTGCATCACTAGAAGTCGATAAGGATTCGTCCAATTAGAAATCAATAAGGGTGTAAATATCATTTCAAAATCAGTCAGCACGGCAACACTGAACAACTACCAACTGCATCACTAGAAGTCGATAAGGATTCGTCCAATTAGAAATCAATAAGGGTGTAAATATCATTTTAAATTTTCTGTTTTCTTATTTTTTTAAAAAATTAATGCACTTTTCTTTAGAAAAAAAAAAGATTGAAAACTAATTATTAAATTGGAAAATATGTAATTAATAACTTTGCAGCCTTCGCCGGTTAGATCTAAAAAGCTGCGGCACAATTTTGATCCAAAAAGATAATTTAAAAAAATTTTAAAAAAATAATATGAAAGATGAAGATAGAATCAAGAAGAAACAGACAATAAATTCAATCTCTAAATCTATTTTTCCACATTCTTCCAAAGTTTGTGATGTGTTCTCATAAATTTATTTTTATTTATTTTTAATTACTCACTTGCTGCCAATTCAAGAAAATTTTGGATGGTATAGATGTAAAAGAAAAATTTACTAAATTATTTAATTATATAGAGAAATTTCTAATTCAAGGGTAGGAAGTTGCCCACTCTGAATATAGCCTAATTCTTATATTTAATTATCTAATCCCTAAATTTTACTTTTTACATCCATACCATCCAAAATTTTCATCTCATAATTTTTTTTTTACTTTTAAAAACTAAAATAAGTATTTCCATGCATAAATAAGGTGGCATAAATTTAAAAATTGAAGTTTAGGTGTTAGATATATAACTGGATATGAATTGAGTGGTATGTTAGGGTGTAACCGAGCTCGTGCTCAGCTTGTAAAAAAATGTCATTGTTCTTGTTTGTTTTGTTTATATTTCAAACACAAAAGGTGTGTTCGTGTTGGCTCGTCGCAAACAAAAGCTCATTTTGACAACCCTAATCACGCATCCGTAGGATGTTAAGGGTTGGGGCAACATTTAATTTTTATTGTTTATATTAACACATTATTTAAATAAAATGTAATATATTTTTATTTTATTTTTTATTTGATTATTTTAATTGACTATAAATCTTTATAGCCTTGTAGTCAAATTGTTTTTTTTAAATAAATACTACTTATGGATATATATATATATATATATATATATTAGTTCAAGCCAAAACCATCTGATTTTTTTTTTCTATTCGACTCGTTTATATTGAGCAAAAAAAATGTGTTTGTATTCAGCTCGTAACTTACCGAATAAATCGAATACGAGCTTCTTAAAAAATTGGACATGAGTTATTCATGAACAACGAGCCGTTATAACAGCCCAGTGGTATGTATGCAATTTAAATAATGATTTTTTTCTGATAAAAAAAAACAATTTAAATACATATCACTCAGAACATAATTTGAATGTAATTATACATCCAAGATTAAAATTCATTTATTTACTTTTATTATACTATGTAAATATTACCATAATTATTTTATCTTATATATATATATATATAGTATCATTTTGATATTAAGATATTATATAAATAAATCTAAAAATTTAGATATTGGACATTAGAATATCTATATATAAATGTCTAAAAGATTTAAATATATTATAATTTTTATTATTTATCATGAAATCTAAATATTTTGCGTTCGATATAACTTTTGTCCTTATATTAACATCAGGATGTGACATTTTTGGTACTCATCAACGCACTGCTTTATCGGATTAATGGAGAGAAGTTGTGGCGCTGACGTGGCAGAGTGCAGGATTGAACCGTTCGGCCGCCGGCAGTGGGCCCAGTTACATACTACTCAAAATACCCATGTTTATGTTCATTTTACCTTTCTGAAAATATTATTCCTGTAAAAAAATTTTCTTTTTTATCGGTGTCTTCCCGCAGTGCGAGAGAAAGGATTATTCTATGCAGACAATGCACGTTACTAAAATTTTTTTTAAGAAAAATAAAAATGAGACCTACTGACAAACATTTTTTTATAAAAAATATATTTTTATTGGTTCACTGCACGCATTTCTGCATGTGATGGTAAATGTACACAATAATTTTTCCTCTCATGAGCACTGTATAATATGATCATCATTCTCCCAATCACAGACATAACCGGATGTGCACTCAACAACAAAGATATCATACTGTCAAACACATGATACTGTATAATTCACTATTAATCGCATGTTCTGATAATGTACATAAAATTTGTCTAAGATGAAAAGATGTGTTGAAATTATCATATATATATATATATAATACTTTTTTTTAAATTAAGGCATTTACATACATCTAAAATTTGATATTTACATACATACCGTTTGTCTTTTAATATCATATTAAAAATACTATTATTACACTTCTTATAACTGAAATACACCATATTGTTATAAATAGAAATATCTTGTTATAGATATATACAAATAAATAAAATTGTGGTAAGTATGTAAATTTTCCTTTTTAAATTTGACTTGTAATATATATATTTTTTTTCATTTTTAATGAATTGAATTATGTGGTACTTGTGAGTATAGCTCTTATTATTTGTCAAATGCATATTTGCATTGTAATTTTCTAAATCTTCGACAAATTTATTGCAATGTGATATGTTAAATGTTGTTCCCAACATGATCTAAATTATACTACAATTATGTAAATTATAAAATTTCACCCCCTTACACTCTGTGCATAAGATCTCCAAAATGTCACTCTCAATCAAATAAATATTTTCAAGCAACTACATGTATCATCATAATTTGTGGCATTTACATATCACATAATTCTTATGCATTTACATATCTAACACCAAAACATTTATATTTGCAAGCATACCACTCAAAATCTTTAACATCGCATCAAAAATACTACAATCATTATCTTATTTAAAGTGAAAGTGTTACAAATACAAATATCAAATTTCAGATGTTCGATATATAAATACATAAAAATTGTGTGATTATGTATGTAAATTTCCTTAATAATTTCACCTTCATCCCGTCAGAATTGTTGGCTTTCTTAGCATCGTTTTGTGCACAAGATCTTCATGATCTAACACGTACATAAAAAAAATGTGCTGGCACGGTTCTAGAGGAGATCCAACGGAAAATATGATAAATGAGAGCCCACAACCTATCCGATCGGACAAAACCGTCCTCCATTGTAAATCCAAAATATCGCCGCCGAAGAATCTTAAGGATCACGGGCTTTCCTAAGCATCGTTCTGTACATGAGATCTCCGCGATCTAAGACGTGTTGTTCCCAATCTGTTCGAACACCGAAAGGGTTCTCGGCGAGCCATAACTCATCATCATCATCATCCTCCTCATCCTCGTCCATAACAATCTTGCCCTTGCCATACTTTATGAACTGCTCTTTCATTCTAATGGTCACATCTTCAATGTCTGACTGTAAGAAAACCTACAAAGCAAAGATGGATCCTGAAAAGAATATGGAAACGAAAACAAAAAAATAAGGATGGTTTCACATACAATCCACTCCATTTTTATGTATTTACATATCTAACACCTAAACTTTAATTTTTTACATATATATTCTATCTTACCTGCGCATGATACGGAAGATTTGGGTGGCATGAATATAAAAACAAAGTTTAGGTGGTAGATATGTAAAGACATAGGAATGGATGGTATGTATGGAGAGGGAGAGACCTTTGCCTCTGCTGCTAGCAAATCTATGATTGCGTCTACAAGTGCTCTTTGGACCATACTCCACCTATTGACTTTGCGATTGAAATCAGGATTTGGGCACTGAAAAAATAAAATTAAAAGTTATATATTTTTTAGAAATTACATTCAACATTAACTAATATATCTCATCTTTTTTATGGTAAATAAAAAATTATTATTATTATTATATATATATATTTTTTTCGGCAGGATGAGCGCTCGGACCCGGCCCATTGGACACTTTTTCTTTTCGAACCAATAAGTTGCTATTTCGAGCACTAAATTTTCAAGTTTAGTAATGAAATGTAACTTGTTAGAAGACCATCATGTAAGCAACAACATTAAAAGATTGGGGAATTTACATATACACAACATATTTCCTATGTATTTGCATATGTAACAGCTAAATATTAATTTATACAACATTCAAATTTTCAATATCACATCAAATGACATTTTAATGCATATGTTTTGATATGACTGTCACAAAGTGTTAGAAATGTAAATATCTAAGTTTAAAGTTTTAGTGATGCGGGGCTTGGGAACCACACTGAACCGGCCAATTGGTTTAGCAGGGAGTGTCCCGGTCCAACAGGAAGCTAAATCAACCCATTACCACTCGCATAGGGCAGGAAGTACCACCAAAGGCCTCCCTTAACTTTTTTTGTTTGTTGCTCCTTCCCCCTTATCTTTTCTATTTGCAGCTCAAGGGGAGGAGCCCCCCTTCCTATTCTATCTCCTAGCTATCATATATTTGTTGTTTTGTTTGCTTAGGGTTAGTTTTTGGTCTTCCAGATTTGAGATTTCCGTCAAAGCCATCCATCGGGGGTTGTTTTCCCTTCTAGGAATAAATCTAAAGCAGAGGAGCTGCTCCGAATATAACTCGCCCGAGATGGTGATCTTCTCCAAAGATTCGAGGGGTGCTCCGACTATAGCTCAATCCCATGGGGATACCTATCTTCCCCAAATCCTCTCCACAGTCCACCTTCCTCTTTATTTCCTGCAGTCGACTTTGGAGTGTAAACAAGTCAAGTTAAGCTCCTTGGTTTGAGCTTGAGCTTGATTAATTTTATCAAGCTCGAGCTCGAGCTCGAGCTTAAGTCTATGAGTTCGAACAGGCTCGTGAGCCGGCTTGTTTAGTATAAAGAGATAAAATGATATTAATTTTAACTAGTTTTATAATTAGATAACAAATAGAATGAACAATTAAGAGGATAAATAATAAAAATTCACATAATATACAATATAAAATATTCTTTTTTAAATATATTAATACCTTAAAGATAAAATCTTGAAATTTAATATATTTTGAGTAAATTTTATATTAATTTTTTTTTTTTAAAACGAGCAGGCTCACGAGCTAATGAGTCGAGTCGGCTGTTAGCCCTCTAGCTCCCAATTAGCTGCCACCACCCTCTTCCCTATTGTCTTGCTATTGTCGTCCCTCCTTGCCTTCCAGTACCGCAGCCACTTCATTCCAAGCCTCCAGTTGCAGTCGCAACCCTTAAAATATCTAAAGGAGAGGAGGTGCTCTGAATATAATTCGCCCGAGATGGTGATCTTCTCCAAAGGTTCGAGGGGTGCTCCGACTGTAGCTCAATCCCATGGAGATACCTATCTTCCCCAAATCCCCTCCACAGTCCACCTTCCTCTTTACTTCTTGCAGTCGACTTTGGAGTGCAAACAAGTCGAGCCAAGCTTCTTGGTTTGAGCTTGAGCTTGATTAATTTTATCGAGCTCGAGCTTAAGTCTATGAGTTTGAACAGGCTCCTGAGGCGGCTTGTTTTCAATAAAGAG